AGAGCACCGGGGGGCGGGGGGGGGGGAGCCGTGCTGGCATGCAGGTAGGACGTCACCCTGCTCCTCCCTGCCTGGCGCGATGGGTGAGAGGGTCAGTCCCCGACCGTGTGTGTCCCCCAGCACAGCCCACAGCAGCAGTGCCCTGAGGCTGCCCTGCGGTGCCTGGGAGCAGCCAGTGCTCAAAAGGCTGCAGCAGTGGGTTCCTCTGCGGGGAGCCCAGGTGAGAGTGCTGTGCCCCAGAGCCTCCGTGCCTCCTTATAGCCCCTGGTCATTGCAGCTTTCCCTGGGATAGTCCCAAGGTTTTTCCTGCAAAAGTCCTCCCCACACCTGTGGGGCATCAGGGGCTTTTCCTGGGCTCTGGTTTTGTTTCCCCCCGGGCAGGCTTTGGTTTGCATTTCCTTCCCCGTGACCCGCTGTCCTCGGCCTGGGACTGGGCCTGTGGCTGGGGGCGAAGGCAGCTCGGGGCTGGGGCTGGAGCCCGTGTGCTCCCTGCGCCGCTTACCCATGCTGCCTCACGCCCACCTTCTGGCAGCGACAAAAAGAGCAACCAAAACCAGCCATGGGGGAATTCCTCTGTTCTTGCTTCTTTAAAAAACAGCCCCTGAATATGCTGGATTTCTACTGAAATTGTAACGGTGCAGTTCCTGTTTGTAAAAGAGCTTCTCCATCTGCTCCCCGTAGCTGCGTTTCTCTTGCTGGCCCTCCCCGGCCACGGGCAGCATAGGAAGGTGCCTGGGGCCGGCTGCCATCCCCGTGCTCATGCACTGGCACAGCCTCCCCTTGCTTCAGATGGAGGAGGAGGGAGCTGCCTTATCCCAGGCTTCCTCAGCATGCATCCTGGAGAGAAAAGCCGCCTTCTCCACGGCTCACAGACACCCCAGCCCTCGGGACCAACCAGCTGCATGCCCAGGAGACCTTGGGCCAGGTTGTTGGTGAACAGGGCAGTGGGAGTGCGAGGAACCAGCTAAAAAAGATGGCAATGAGTCACAGAACTGGATGGCTGGTTTTGTGAAATAGGGGAAAATGCCGTAAGGAAATGAGACTGCTTCAGACTTCCCTCCTCGGTCAAATATCTGGACGAATGTGGAAATTTGTCCTCTGCACTGATAGTGCAAGCAAACACCTCAAAAAGCCCCTGTGGGGCTTTCCCGTGGCTTTCTCATTCCAGCTGCCTTCAACCTCAGCAGAGCAACCGGCCGTGGAAGTGCCTGAAGCACAAGAGCAGCCCTGGCAAAGTGCGCTGCCGCCCTCGGAGAGGGTCCCCCGCCCGGCAGGTGGGGGCTGGCAAGGCACAGGGGCTTGGACTCTTTCTTCGCAAACTGTTTTCTGAGAAGGAAAAGGAAGAGAAACTCAGGAGACCGTGTGGCTGTGTGGGGGGAAACTGGTGAGGACAGAGCAGAGAGCCCCAATCTGCACCCTGGCTTGCAAGGGCGCAGGTGGCCAGCCGCGAGCAGAGGCCGTGGGATCACCGGTGACGGGCAAGGGGCTGGGCTGGAGTGGGGTGGCTGCGGGAGCCTGCCCGGGGGCCAGGAGCTCGGGCTCTGTGGCTTCACGCCACCTTCCTGTGCACGAGACCCTGCGTGCGCGGTGGCTCTGCAGACAGCTGGGGTGGGTGAAATGGCTGTACCCCCTGCTCCCCAGCACCCTGCCTGGGGAGGGATACCGCGGCCCAAGAAACGCCAGCCCTTGCAAAGCTTGAGCAATCCGAGCACTTGCCTCTTGTGCTATATGCCAGCCTGCGGTGGGACAGACGGACACCTGCACCCCTCCTGAGCAGACCCCCTCTGCCTTCCCCCTCTCTTCTCCTTCCCTGTGCCTGCAGCGCTGCTCCTCACAGGGTTTGTGCAATGCTGGGGGCTTTGCAGCCCTGTTGTTGGAAATGCATTGGAATCATTTGCATAGGCTGGTGCGGGGGGAGGAATGGGTGGGTTTGCACGGGTGCAGCCCCTCGCTGGGGTGGCCGAGGTGCAGTGCTCCCTGCTGCAAGGAGGAACAGGAGAAGGAGAGCCGCTTGCAGGAGGAGTCAGAGCCGAACATCCTCCGTGTGATAGGCTGTGACTTAATTCAGGAAAATGTGAGCATCTGGGATTTCCAAAGAGCCGGAGAGACCGTCCATGCCCTTGGCTATCGAAGCCAAAGCACGTGGTCTGTGGCTTTCTGGCACACTCATCTGGGTTTCATTGAAAGAAGAGCCCTGGGTGCTGCCCCTGCACACTGCCGGCTGGAGCCCTTTGTGGCGAGCAGGAACCCGGCACTGCGCGGGATCCGGCCGCAGAGCTTGACGTCAGGAGCATTTAAAAGAAAGAAAAAAAAAAAACAGTGGTGCTTAGTTTTGATGACTCCGTTTTTCAGAGGAAGTTGAAAAAAAGAAAGCGAAAAACCCCAACCCCCAAAATACTCAGAGGCCGAAGCGATGGTGGAAATGGAAGGGCAGAAGCATGCCTGGCAGCAGGCACGTGGCTGGCATCGGTGGTGCCGCTGCAGTGGGTGCCCATCACAGCCAGCGGCCAGGCCCTCCGCGTGTCGCAGGGAGAGTATCTTAAGTGCGAGTAGTGCAACGTCAGATGTAACAGAAGGAAGCGTAGCAATGCATCACCAACCCTTCTCCTGACTGCAGTGATTCATGTTTTCACCTGAAAAACAGTACTCCCCGAGTTGGGTTTCCACCAACAGTTTTAATGGGACTATCCCACCGTGAAGGTTCTTGGAAACTAAGTGACTTTTGGAAAAACTTTCCAGTGATCTGGCAGTAGTCAAATGGAGCCTACAGTAAGTCGGTCTCATCTCATGTTTGTTTCCATTCTGACAGAAACTATTCCCCCAGGTTCAACTTCTTCCACTCTGCCCTGGAGGTGCTCCTGTCCTTCCCCAGTGCGTGGTCCCAAGCTGCTGCCCCGTGGGATGCACTGCACGCCCAGTGCACCCCTCTGAAATCACCACGAGCTGCCCAGGTCCTTTTCCCTGCTGCTCCTCCAGTGCGTGCTCTCACAGCACAATGCTCGCCTGGGACAACTACCCTGGTCCTCAGATGAGTATGAAGCTCTCAGTGGGCTGGCTTTGTTCTTCTTTTTTTCCAGTTGTGATGTGGAAATGCTCTTCCCCATGTGAGGCAAAGACACATTGCCCTTTGCTGCAGCGGAAAGTCCGTATCTGAAAACGGAAAGCGCAGCTTGACCTTAGAAGAGGATGTACAGATGAATGGACCAAATAAATAACACCACATGCTTTCTGTATTTACAAATTAAATAGAATAAATAATGTCTGTACGCAATAGTGGCAGAACATGGACCATAGTGTGGGTAGGGCTGCCCTGGCTCATGCTGGGCTCATATGGCAGCTGCTGCATGCATCCTGCACCCCATCGGAGGTAGCCAGCGCCCTGGTCTCTGCCATAGGGGCTGAATGCTGAAGGGTCTCTGTAGGGTCAGGAAAGTCCTTCACTCCTTCCAAGTGAGGCCAGCCAGGGTGGGAGCTCCGCGCTCCCAGCAGCAGGATGGCTGACCTCAGCCTGCTCTTTGCTTTCGGTGTCTGTGTTGTGAAAGGTTTGGACGGCATCGGCAGCATGGACGTCAGCTGGAGGAGCCGGTGCTCACCTGTGAAAGGGGGAAGCGGGAGGGGGAAGCGCAGGGCTGGTGCTGGCCCCGGCCCCGAGGGTGGCCCTGAGCCCAGGGGCTGCATGCTCCGCGCTGGGCTGCTGGGGAGGGCAGACAAGGCAGGATCGCCCTTTGGAAACGTCCTGGCGTGTACCCTTGGGCTTGCTGGTCAGAGGAGGGGGGGCGAGCACCTCCAGCGCAGCCCGTCCCTGTGTCTCGTTAGCTTTGGCCCGGCGACTT